TCTAGTGGCTGCAGAGGTCACGAGAGCCCATAAAAAATATATGCAAGTCAAAAAACTATGCTAAAAGATTAATAATATCTTTAATCGTGAAGCAGTGGCCATATCCGATTAGAAAATAGGTGATACTATCTATAAACACACTGCTCGTACAATATACTGTAAAGTATACAAAATTGTACTAAGATTGAAAATGGCAAAATGGGCAGTTGTTTTTCTTCCGATTGTGAATTAGAGTTGAAGGGAAAGCCGCGTGAAATGAACCCATTACATACAACATATGGTGTATGAATCTACAGAATGTGAGATGCATCTTTATCTCACATTCCTTCGTGTTGTTTTATGGAAGGGGTAAAGGTTACCAGTTTATCCGTCAACAAAAAACACGTCAGATAAATTACATATTATTTTTGTTTAAGGTTAAAGCTTTGACCGTAACGTGGCTACTTGATGCGTATTGCTTATTCTGTTTAAGACAACAGTTTTCTCTGAGAAGGCTATATATTTTTCATCACGTGCAATCGAAAGGCTCGCGTCAGCAGCATTTTAAGTGCACATTTATTACCCACCCTAACCATCAGTTACGCTGTATAACATCTTGAAAATGTTGGCTGTCATTAATAATCCAAACATGTCAAATTGTGTTTCTGTATACAAAAAAGCATCACAGCTGTGATTTTAAATTGTATTTCCAATTTTATTCTCCTAGTAGCGTCAGGTTTAAAAAATATATATGTCCTGTATAGTTTTCTTTCTCAAAAATGTCCTGATTGTAAAGAATCCTTTAGAAACGATGACAACTGCCACCTTAACACCATTGGAACCTCATTTGCCAGTAAAAAATTATGATAATAGTTTTTTTACCCTTCTATCTGGCAACAAAACTGACACCTTTTCTACAAGGAGTCATGTTTGCATATACTACAATACTTGCAGCCATAATGCAAACAAAAAACATAACTCTGATAATATATGCACTGTCCTTGAAGTTGATTGGTCCACACCCGAGACAGTTTTCCTTAGAGCCTAGTCTCACATGGGTTGGACCAGATGACGCAAAATATATTATCAGAGTTATGTTTTTTGTTTGCATTATGGCTGCAGGTATTGTGGTCTATGCAAACATGACTCCTTGTAAAAAAGGTGTCAGTTTTGTTGCCAGATAGAAGGGTAAAAAAACTATTATCAACCGCCACCTTGTTAAGGAACATTTCACCGAAGCAGATATCTTTGGCCAATGAAGTGCAAAACCAAATGTAATATGATGGGGTGTTCTGTGTGCAGTCATTGGTGACCAGGCTGAAACCATCCACCTGTGACACTTGAAACCCTGGGTTACTCACATGCGGTCACCTCAATTCAAATCCAGGTCTCAAACAGTGCCAGCCCGCAACTTTGAACTCTCAACCAACCTGCCACCTTCCTAACAGCATCGGTTCAAAGTTCTAAAAAAAAGCAAGCAGATGCTTTGCAGTGACTGTTCACCGGCAACGACAATAACTAATAACATGAGACATTCACGGGATGTTACAAACTCTGATTAATGTTTCCAGACATCTGGAAAATACGAACGCAATTTACAATTTGGCTCGATGTTGATTTGAAAATGTAACTTGAAAGGAAGTGTTGTTCTACTTAGAAAAACATAATTATTGGGGTTTGTTTCCATATGCTTGGGGGCTACATTTAAGAAGTGAACTGTAAAAGAGATTGAAAGAGTTGAACATCGCATGGCAATGTGCTCGTAATATTTTCTGGCTGGAAACACTGATGGCTTGAATGTCACTGACTTCGGAAACATCACTATTCGAGCTCATTATTTATTTATATATATTGCGTTCGTTGTGAGCAACAAAGATAATGCAATTTGAATTACTTCCCTGCCTCGTGAATGGGCTTAGCTTGTTCAACGATTTGACATACTATGAAGTGCTGTGAATTATAACCGTAAAAGTGTTCTTTTTGAAGTCTATAATTGCACCATAATTTTTTTTACAAAGTCTGCATACAATGTGTTTTATTAGCAATAAAAATACACTCGTAAATTTTGGCAGTGGATTTTTTTTATTCGTTTGTGTTTGATGTCAGTGGGAACATTTACTGTGCTATGTGCCTCATAATGCAGTCGCTGAAATGGTATTTTATCTTATACTGCACTGCCATATTGTGTTGAGTATGTACCAGTGATGGTAAAAACAGCGCAGTAACTTTCTATTCAATTCACATGAAAACATTCTCCGGCAACAAGAAGATAGTGAACACATATACAGTAGTGCAAAGGAAATAAAAAAAAACAACGGTGATCTTGGACAAAAACAGCATGGATATCAATGATTCCTTAAATAATTCTAGACGTCCACATTTAATGCCAGTATCATTGATGCGGGCGCCTCTCACAGTTGCTTACTCGGTTAATTCTGTGAGACTAATTGTATTGCCCGTACCTTAGTCGGTAGCCTGAGCGCAAGGTCTGCCATTGACTTTGAATTATGTAATTCCGTTGGCCTCTTTAAATATTCTGTGCGCTTGCTGAGACTTCACCGGGTCCGCCACCCTGCAGTGCGTCTCCTCCTCTATGGCTGGCAGCAGCTCCGTCCGCTGACAACAGAAGAAGCCTCTGCCCTTGGGTCTCCCGTGCTAACATCACGCGCGCCACGTGGCTGTCTTATACCAGGACTTGCAATACAGTAAATTGCATTCTTTGGATTGTCTTAGCTCCGACCCCCCGCCGACCATGTGCGCGCGTCTTTGACTTCGGGTATAATGTGGCTTATACGTAAATGTTTCTGAATTGTGTCATTAGGTATGGAATGGGTTGTTGGCCTAGGGCTGTGCTTGCGGTTGATTGTGTTTTTTGGGGGGGGGGGGGTTGTTTTGTTTCGTGGACGTCCGTGGTGATTTTAGCCGCAGAGATGTTGTTCTTACCGCGGTGGCAAGATGTTAACTACCTCGCCTGGTATACAGGAGGCGTGGGCTCGACCCCGACCCTGATGCTTGCTGTATATTTGGAGTTTGCATGTTCATACTCCCCCGTGGTCGCGTGGATTTTTATCCGGGTCCTCCAGTTTTTCCATCCACATTTAGAAACATGCGTTCAGATTGTTTGGCTTCTATACATGTCCTTGTGATAAGCAGTTCATGTATCATTTGTAGCCAGGTCGCTTCTGGAAAAAGAGCTATGTAGATCAGTGGGAATTACCTGGTAATATAAAAAATTGTCTAAAATAGTTTCGTTTAGTTCCACGCAGATCACACGGTGGGCGTTTTTCCCCGCAGATTTTTTTATGGTGAATTTTATCCAAGTCTTCTCGCAAACATTCAGAATCAGAATATTTATTTATAGTGGAGGAATTCCTTAGTTCTAGATTTGAAGCTTTCGTGACTGCAAGGATTCATACTCTTAGGTAAAGTCACGTAGGTAAAAAAATAAATTTTAAAATACTAAAAGTAATAATACAATAAAATAATAAATCACTTTTCGTCTCAAGAAGCTGTGACTTCTTGTCTCGTTGTCTGTTAAAAACTCTAACAGATAGGTGAAATTCCTCCCCGTGGAGGGTATTAATTCTAGATTTGAAGCTTTCGTGACTGCAAGGATTCATACTATTAGGTTTTTTTCGGTAAAGTCACGTAGGTAAAAATAAAATGTTAAATTACTAAAAGGCATAATTTATTATTATTTTTATTTCTAGGAATTCCTTAGCCCAGGGATTGACAACCTGCAGCTATGGAGCCGCATGCGACTCTTTAAGGACTCTGCTTCGTGGCTCCCAGCACTACAATTGCAAAGTAAAAAAAAAACTGCTCCTAATTATTTTCGATAAACGGTGAACGTCTCCAAGCCCAACAATTATTTGTAATGCGGCATTACAAATCGTTGTGCGTGTGCCGATCTTAAAATAATTATGACAAAACAAAATATGGTTTGACGTTATTAATTAAGGACCGTCTTGTATTCACATGCATTGCGACTCTCAAAATATTTCGCTTTTTTGTACCGAATTCGAAGAAAATGTCTCTTCTTGTTTTTTTTGTTGCCGACCACTGGCCTAGCCCAATGACTGCGATTGATTACAACGAGATGGGCAAGATGCTCACATTCAGTCCGCTGTTTAAAACATCTGAAACTGCTGCCCGTGAAGTGAGGTAGAAAAATTATAATAGATTTATTATCATTTTTCTACGTGACTTTACCGAAAGAACCAAAGAGTATGGATTCCTGCAGTCACGAAAGCTTCAAATCAAACCCGTGAGTCTACAATATTTCGCATAAATACCCACGCAGTATACGATCCTTATTTACGCACTGTATATTTCTTAGCTATTATATTCCACACTGTGCACTATAACCGTTTCCTTTCTAAAATAGTACTCTATTATATTGTTATATATTCTGTAGCTACACACTGCATTCGTGTAATCTGTTCCACAGTCTGGACACGTGCAGCCAGCCCCCTGTTGTCGACCCACCGTTGGATGAGGGCCTTCAACGGCGAGTGGACACACGGGGGTTATTTGCCCGTATTGTTGGCCATTGCAGGTTAACGAAGGCGTTGCAGCAAAGCACAGGCAATGGATTTTGCTGCACCGCCCTCTGCTGCTGTACCCGCTGCTCCACATGTTAGGCGACTGTTATTCGCTGGGAATCTCTGCGTGATGCACATGCGAACTGACCGCGGCACTAACATCGGGATCGGAATCTTTATTTATCCTGCAGAAATCCGATGAGCTATGTAGTATGGAATCATAGAAGGCGATGCTATCTGTGGGTGATTTGTTTATTTTGTTAAAAAGCCATAAATAATATCCCACTCCCAGCTAGAATTGCCACCTGTCCTGGTTTTTTTCCAGGATCATTCTCTCTTTGAGGTAGCTGTGCTCCAGGGAGAGGTCAGAATAATGCACAACTCAAAACAATTGGCTTACGTGTAGTCCTCATCTCCTCTGGTATTGTGAGATGTTCTTCTTCCCATGACATGTCCCGTTTTGGTTGTGTACCTCAGAGGTGGCAACCCCCACTCCCAGCGCTTGCGGCTCTTGCGAAGGGAGGCTGCGCATAAATCCGTCCTACCTCCCTGCCCGTGGATGCCCTTTCGGCTGCCCCCTTGGGATGGAGGCTCCTGCTGGAATGACCTCGGAGGACTACGCAGAGCAACACGTAGAGGTGAGCGCCTGTCCACTTGCCCGAGTGCGGCGAGTGCATCTGTCGCGGGATGTGTGCGAGGCACATCGTGTACTGGCATATGTCGACGCAGTTGATCAGCTGATTCGGCATCAAGATGATGTGAAATGTATGAGTTTCATGCCATCTTCTTGGCTCTTTTGGTAAAGTCATGTAGAAGGGAAATAATAAAATAATAAAAATTAAACATGTGAGAATTATTTTATTATGTTTAATGTTTATTATTTTATTATTTCCCTTCTACGTGACTTTACCGAAAGAACCAAGAAGATGAATCCCTGCAGTCACGAAAGCTTTAATTCGAAATTTCATGCCATCCTTATGTTTATCATGTTTGTGCATTTGTATACCACCAGGTATACGTACAATCCATGCCTTATTCTCCAAATTGTTTGATGCATTTTCCCCCCCTCCACTCCCCCCCCATATTTTAAAGCAAAAGTTGGGGGTGCGTCTCATAATCTGTTAAGTGAGACCAGATATGTATGCCTCTATCAATTGTGAATGGGGCACAAGTTTGGGGTTTTTTTACTTTCCTGAGCATCGTTTAATGTGGAGAATACGGTATTGTGCTAATTGTGCTAATTTTGCCACGGCAGACATTGTAAAAGTGAAGTCATGGTCCGATATCAGTTGTAACGATAATGCAGAGTGCACATTTTTGGCATTTTATTGTTATGATTTTTTCAACAATTAATATTTTAGTCCCAATTTAATCCAAGTTTGGTCAGTTGGAAAATGCAAATGATATATTTCTATATTCACAACGAATGCAAATAAAACAATTACTAGAATTAAATTGCGAAGTTTTGTGATTGAAAATAGTAAACAGTACATTGACAACGTTTACACGACTGCATGTATTTTCAGTTGCAAAGACTTCAAATATATTTGGAAACGAAACATCATCAGGAAGACAAGGAGATGGCAAACATAAAATTCATTTCCAAAGATATGAAGTCGCCCTCTCAACCCCACATTCTTGCAGGAAACAACTTGGCGCTGATGGAAAACAAACTCATGCCAATGCACTCTCTTGGGTCTCCGGGCCACGAGATGGATGCGAAGGCTTGCACGAGTAGGCAAATACGAGGAGAGCCTGGCATTGATTTCAGAGCCGTGTGTGGCACGGACAATGCTCACGGCCTAATGGACGGCACTTCAGAGCCAGTCGATCTGTTAGCTGCCAACTTGGAAGGAAACTTGCTGGGCTTGGCAGATTTCGCTTGGCACACCTCAAACACGAACGCAACCCCGAGCAGTGGGGTCGGCGCCAACGCTGATGAATCCGTGGACGGGCTCCACCTGGTCAAGGAGGACGCGGGTCTCGGCGGTCTGAACGATGGTGCGGGCGACACCAGCTGCTACGAGCGGCCACCGCCCGTGTCGAAGTCCGGGGCCGACTGGCGCGCCGTGCTGAGTCTGCCCGCGCTGGAGGGGTGGCTGCGGGACGCGGCTGGCAGGGTGAGGGCCCTGGCGGACTTCATGGGGAGCGACGCGCGGCGAGCCACGCACCACGTGGACGCGTGCCTCATTCAGCTGAAGGTAGAACGCGCGCGTGCCCCAGTCCCGCACAGCGCCCACGCTGGTACCATGCTACAACTTGGGTTTTTTCGGTAAAGTCACGTAGGTAAAAAAATAAAATAAATCATGGAAATAATAAAAATAAAATTATAAATCACGACGTTTCGGAGGCATCAGGTGGGACCGTCACAGCTGAATTTACTGTATTAATTCAGCTGTGACGGTCCCACCTGATGACGGAAACTTGTGTTGCCTCCGAAACGTCGTGATTTATTATTTTATTTCTATTATTATTTCCATTATTTATTATTTATTTTATTTTTTACCTACGTGACTTTACCGAAAAAAACTTAAGAGTATGAATCCTTGCAGTCACGAAAGCTTCAAATCTAGAAACGCACTACAACAACAGCACAGCACTTATGCCAGGCTAGGTGCACTTTTTTGCCACGTGACAGTAGGAAATGGGACAAACGGGTCTAGGTGTTGTGGGTTTACTGACCGAGATGGCAGGCAGCTATGAAGCCTGCCACTGTCATGCACAAATGTTGTTAGCCTTCCCACGCCGTGTCGATCCATGGGGTTTTTATGGTCATACTTAAAAACGGTGGTTGGTGGAGGCGGGGAGATTGACGTAGAAGCATTGAAGTACCATACAGCAATTAATTTTATTACACTGCCCCCTACTGCACACATTGTCTATGTTGTCACAAATGTGCACAAATATACAGTATTTGGTGACGAATCGACGCTTCTAAGTCTGGAGTTATTTCTTTCAGGACTTCCCCAGTCGATATCACTGACATACACATTGATGCAGTCAGTTCCAAACAAGAAATGTGCCAATGATGCTATACAGTAAAACTTTTATTGAGAAGGTGGCATGCTGGGATACAATTATGTAATCTCTTTAGTTCAATTTCCCGCATGGTCCGTGTTCATTTTATGTGCAGTTAACTTAACATTTCAGGGCCTTTGCATAGGTCTCCTAACTTCTTAGGGGATTTTTTGTTCGCAAAAGTCATTCCATTTCATGAAAAATTAACTCTACTTGGTTTGAGTGATGGGGCTAGTGCGTGCATCTCGTTCCATGAGACACACACACACCTCTAAGCGATCAATAATTTCATTAAGGTGCATGCAGAAGCCACACCTGCTGTAGATCACGGCTCATTATTGCTCCAGTGATTTACTTGGCAGCAGCCAAGGCCAACATTTTACAGCCAAAATCAGGGCAGGTTAAAAATATTCCACGTGCAATGCTTTAAAAGCACACACTGGGCTAAATATATTTCTAGAATAACACAGGAACACAACAAACACGGGAAGCTGATAAAAAGGCACCTTGTTTTGAGGGAAGTGTACCCTTTTTAGGAAACATACAATGGCATGACTTCGCAATGCAGACACATGATAATTATTATGTTCTTTTGTTTTATTTCCACTACGGATTTCTGCACTGGTTTAACCCAAGCTGACTTCTCTATTTGGTAACCAGCCATTTGAGGTTGCAATAAGTCGCTTTAAGATTTAAGTTTGGCCAGTTCAATGAAAAAAAAATAATTCAGGCCTGTGTTTATTTGGGCTTAACTTTGCATTTTTCTACTTTTACTTGGAGGCTGTTTTATTTATTTTTGCCATTCCATTATGTTTTGCTCTACCTCTGTCACTTTGTGTAATTTATCTGTCTTGTATTGTTTGCATTCAGAAACTGGTTTGGAGCATCATGTATTTATTTTACCCAGGTCTCTTGGAAAAAAGACGTCAGACCTCCAGAGGCGTTTTTTGGTAATAAATAAAAACTGTCTTACATGATACATTTAAGTTTCCCTTTAAAATGCCAATATGGAATTAAATTGGCACTTCCTGAAGGTTAATCGTTTGTCAGTGTCAGTGCACTTTTACTCATCCCAGTGACCTGATTTAATCTGACCTCTTAAGAACCACGGGAAGTATTTTTTGGGGGGATGTTCACATCTCAAGCTCTTTCAAGTGTGGGTACCATTCCATTTACCTGCAGACATTGCTCTTCTGCTAGAACGCTTATGATGTGTTAGAAATACCCTATAATTGTGCGTTCATATGCTGTACCTTATCATTGCACCTGGTGTAATTGAGAGGTGTAATGATTCGCCCCGTGGAAATTCAACAAATTGTTGTCTTTCGGGATCGGTTTCGATGCAAGGATCGATTGTGTATCCTATATTGTGGCGAACGTATTGGCCACTCTTGCCTGGAGGGGTCAAATTTACAAATGACTGTACAGTAAATACCACGTCTATGGATTAACTTTAAAATATTAAATCTTACGCACACAAGCCCGTGCGTGTGTTATGAGCTGAAGAATTGATGTTAATCGATCAATTAATGCATTGTTATACCTATTAATTGTAACCTATATTGACTCCTTGCGCACATGTTTGCATGTGCGTACGTATGCAGCCCTGTTGGTAATGCTTGGATGAGGACCGGTCCATACAATGTGGGTCATGGAGGTTATTTGACCTTACGTCACTACACTGGTCAGTGTGGGTTGGTGAAGGTGGGGGGGGGGGGGGGCATAGATGTGGTCGGATAGAAGTACAGGACAATTGATCTTCCTGCAACGCTCTCTGCTGCCCACCCTGTAGCTCTGCAGCCGTCTGCTCAGACTTGCACTTTATCCAAACTCAATCCCCTCTGCTTAACTCTCACGATCTGATGGTCGCATTCCAGGTAATTTAGTCAGAGGGCAGACCTTTGCTTGCCACAAAATAACTTAATAACCGCAGCCATAGTGAGATGCATACTTGATGTGGTGTGCTGGGTGCGGAAATATTTTCCAGGGTCGCTGAACTGGATAGACCCGGGCTGAAATTACGCCTTGGTCATAGCAACATCCAGTGATGCATGCGACTGTATCCGTGTGTACACATTGTGTTAAGGATGGATGAGCACACATCGGCTCGCTGTCACACAGCAGAAGAATCGACTTGAGTTCAAAGAGCCTTCGTTTAATCAGGGGAATGGAGCAAAAAGTCTGGCAGTGCGGTGCGACCCTGTTGGGAATAAGCACGGTTCACAGGGTGATTTACACAGACCGCACCGCGAGACCTCGGAGCATTGTAAATGTGAACTTTGCCCACCGCTGGTGCAATGCGTTCGCGTCCTGCTGCTGCATAATGCTCTTTTTAACACTGCAGCTGAACGTGCTCTCCACGTGTGTGTTTTGTATTAGCAAGCACTCCGAATGTGCTTTTTGTAACACAGTACTGCGGGGTCGACTCTGCCCTTCATCCCTCCTGAGTTGATCAAATGATTACCACATTGTGGCAAGTCAACAGTGGCTGTCCTCTGGGTAGACTTACCTCCCATCTCGTCATAGGAATGTGGACTTTCCACCACTGGCTTAGGGTTTTTATTATGTTTTATTTTTATTATTTTATTACTTCCCTTCTACGTGACTTTACCGAAATAACCAAGAAGATGAATCCCTGCAGTCACGAAAGCTTTAAATCGAAATTTCGCTTAGGGTTGTTAGCAAAACATTGGTGACATCTCATGGACATTTGAGCAGGAAATCGCTTTGGCAGTTATGCTTTGTGTTCGGTTCGTGCTCTGTTTTTATCTTGAAATATAATGTGATACTGTGTTGTGTATTTAATTTCCTGCCGCACTCATTAACAATTCATGACATGCACACATAAAGTGCACGCATATGCATCTATAAACACGATACACATATATAAAACATTATGCTGTGCTGCGTTTTCAGTGAATTATATCTAAATTGCATTACTGCAGCCTTGATTAAATCTCTCCGTTCGCTCCGCACAACACTCGCCAATTGAAGCCGTGGCGTTGACACGCATACGTATTACAGCGCTCACCACCGAGTGAACGTTTTTTGGTAGGGCCGTGTTCTCTGCGCGTTAATAGCGCACTCCGTATGGAGATGAGGACATCTAAAGGGGCCATCTGTTCCCTGGAATTTTCAAGCTCCTACCAAGCAACCGATTTTAACAAAGGAGCCCCCAGCTACACAGGCTCTCGCACTTGGCCGTGTAGCCGGCTTAACAGGGCTGCTGCCAAGAATGGGTTAAAGGGCCTATGCAAAGCAGGGTGGCGTGGGAGGCAGTGAAGGACTTTCAAAGTGGCCGGTTCAGGGTTGTTTTCTTCTTTTGCTGCTGCTGCTGCTATGGGGTGTCACGTGGATTTAGATGTTATGGTTTTGAATTGCTCCTGAAAAGAACGCAACCGAGAAGAGAAATGTGAAATTGTTGGTGAATGATTGTGCAGTGCTAGCATCGGGTAGAAGAAATAGTTATTTTTTAAAATATGGAACTTTGTCTTCCTGGACTTACAGTTTTATCCTGAAATCGAGGAGAGGTGGGGGGGGGGGCTGGGAGCCTGAGGCAGAGCGATGGGAGCCCCTTAGTAAAGGCAATGAAAGGAATAATAGCATCAGCTGGGACCCATTTGTCAAGAAAGTAGAGTAGTAAAGGACTGCCCTCCACAACCCTTGCCCACTTTTAAAAAACCCCCTCTGCCAAGCATGGGTTCTCAAGCCGCAGTGAAAAGTGACAGCTCTGAGTTTAAATGCTTGGCGTCTACGGGATTTTGTGCCAGAATTCTTGTGCCCATCCTTCACCAATCCCCGCATTGACAAGCATGGTCAAGTATGGTCAAAAGTGCCCAATGAATAACACAATTTAGAGAGGCCTTCATCTGGCACTTGATCGATAAAGGCCTGTGAGCCATTGTGTTAATGCCAGGAAGTTTTCTGGAATGCTGATATTTAGAATTCGGTAAGGCCACGCAAATTGTGGGGCTATAATTGCGTAATTTCACCTTGCGGTTAGTATTTGCTTCATGTCGGCAGCATCTGGCAACTATTTGATTCACAATGTATTACCAAGGGCACCCCATTCTGTTCGTTACCATAAAATCTGAAATTGTGTCAAGTTATTTTCCCCGCCAACTTGGTGAAATGCTAACGTAAACATCAAACATGCTGACCTTTCATCAATTTATCTTCAGGA